GAGAGAGAGAGAGAGAGAGAGAGAGAGAGAGAGAGAGAGAGAGAGTGTTACATGCTGCACCTGAAATGAGGGCCATTTTCAGGCCCTGTGTTGTTTTCAGCCTAAAAGCCTGAAAACAAGGGCCTACAGGCCCTGTGTCGTTTCAGGCCCTCCAGGCCCTGAGTCTTTTCAGCCTGAAACGGAGGACCATTTTCAGGCCCTCATAAGATTGACCTGCCCTGAAACTTAGGCACCAGACCAGGGTTTTAGCACAGGCCATTTTGGGCCTGTTTTCAAGACAACCTTTGTTTGAGCTTCAACGCCAGGGTCTGGGCCGTTTTGGCATTGACAAGAGCAGCCTCCTGGACGGGCCAGCACTATATAAGACTGGCCCGCCCTGCAGGCTGTAGGTAGTTCATAGGGGACTTCCCAGGCACTTCACATGCAATTCAGGAGGCAGGAGGTAGAGTCTTCAGGATTCGGCAGCAGCACTCTGGAGGAGCGCTGCAGTAGTAGTAGTAGCGTTAGCAGTAGTCTTCAGCGCTGGGCGCTAGTAGGGGCAAGAGTAGTACTGGAGAGAGAGAGAGAGAGAGAGAGAGAGAGAGAGAGAGAGAGAGAGAGAGAGAGAGAGAGAGAGAGAGAGAGAGATTTGGCGGAGGCCAGGGAGCCTTACCTGTGGCGCCATAGCTCCAGCTTCGCCTTGGATGTACCTGCAGCACGGCGCCATCTTCAGAGGTTAGTACCTGGCACATGAGAGAGAGAGAGAGAGAGAGAGAGAGAGAGAGAGAGAGAGAGAGAGAGAGAAAGAGAGAGAAAGAGTTCTTCTTCTTCCTCCTCTCAGTCCACCATCTCTTCCTCGCCCTCTCACTATCTGACTTCTCGGCATCAGCAGACTACGAGCGAGAGAGAGATTGGTGAGTTTGGGGATGTTGACAGCATTGGGATACAGACTCGACTTTGGGATAGAGGCAATGACGAGGGACTATTTGGGATCGATACCAGGGACATTTGTGTAACGACATTCTCACCTTCTCCCTCGTCTTTGTCTAATCCCCCTCCTCTTCGTCTGTGGATGTTTGGGGCTGGCGCATTCTTCCTGTGTGAGCGCCGGGCCCCTTCACACCTTGTAATGATGATGATGTATGTGGAGAGGTCGGTCCTTGTTCTGGTTTGCACCATTACGGTATGCAACAGTTCGGTATCTCCTCCTCCTCTCACATGTGTGAAGTCTGATCAGATGTCCTGTCAGTCCCGGTCAGGTCAGGACTTATATCCAAATCTTCCACTGCGCTATATCCAAGTCTTCCACTGCGCTATAAAGTGCCATTTTGTATGTATCAGGATGTACATTGCTTAGATTCCACTAACATTGCATTGTCCATTCAGTCGTTTTTATCACATTGCGGATCCTTGGCTATACATACATTGCCCAACTGGGCATGTAACACACAGCGAGAGAGAGAGAGAGAGAGAGAGAGAGAGAGAGAGAGAGAGAGAGAGAGAGAGAGAGAGAGAGAGCTCCACTGTCCAACATCCGTTGTGAGCATATGTTTTCCCCTCTTAGATCCCTCCCCCCCCCTCCCCCTTCGTGAGCATATGTTTTCTCCGTGTATGATGTTTCCCCCCCCTCTATGCGGCCTCTACCGTTGCCTGTCCACCGAGGCCGTGGCCGATGGAGGAAACATGTCCGGGAAGTCGTGTGGAGGTCGTAGTGGCATCCTGGAGTCAACTGGCACCCAGTCATGAAAGGTCTGGGAATGGTTGTAATCTTATTAAAAAAAAAAAAAAAAGGGACGCTGGGCCCGTCCCCCAGCACGTGCTGCTTAAACCACCAATACTTGGCCCAGCTATCGGCCGCGTAAAAAGATAGAGTAGAAATGTTTCTAGTCGGATGAATTTGGGCACTCCTGTAGTGGCCCGTACGTTTCCTAAAATCGTGGCTCGTTAACTGGCACAACTTTAAGAAGTACTGGTGTTTTAAAAAAGGAAAAAGAAAAAAAAGGAGTAGTTCCGTCTATTGGTGGGGAGCGGCACTTGTTGGAAACCGGCTCCAGCGTCGCTTGATTGCAACATCATAACACAGAGTGTTCACTTCTTATCAGTTTTGGGTCTGTAGCCTACACTCTTGCTGTCCAGGAGCTCCCTATTACCCCTGGGGCTGCCAGTGTTTCCCATCCCATGGAGGAGAGCTCGCTCTTTCTGGTCTATTTGTCATGGGAAGCGGGAAATCGCTCCACTACTATCCCCCTCTTCAATGATCCCACCGGCACCCTCAGCCCCCTCACAGCAAGGCCCTAAGGTGACCAACTACGTGATCATCCACTCCACTAGGCCAACCCACCCGTTAATCCCCTTTCTCTCAGTCAAACCTGAGATCAGCATCACCTGACCCCAGCCCGTAAGGGCTAAGACTATTTTGCGATCTGCGACCGGTCTCCAACCCCTGACACCCCTGGCTCATCCCTACCTGAACCACATCTATATCTGTACTATGTGATGTACAGTGTAGATCAGAATCGAACCCTAGACCTCTCGCTCGTAGCACCTAGCCCCAGCCCACTGAGCTACTACGTCTACTGATCCTTCTAGGTGCTGTACTAGGCTGGGGGACAAGTACCAACCTAGGGGCAACTGAATGTGCACAGGGGAGGTCGAGGGCCGGCAGAATAGAACCCACAACCTCCCTGTTGCAGCGCCAGAGCTCGAACCCACTGAGCTACCACTCTCGTCCAGCCCTACAGTTTTTCATCTCTTTCTTAGAAGGGCTCCTACTTTTGTCTATTTATTAACCGTGACGATGGTGGACCATTCAGCCACATGGCTTGGGTTCTACCCAGAAAGGGTTTTACCCAGTTGTTGTTGTTGTTGTTGTTGTTGTTTTTATTTTTATTTTTTTTATTATTTTTTTTTTATTGGATCTGCCCAGTTATTGTAAGTGGAGCTAAAGACGAATCGACTTTGTTTTTTTTTTGGGGGGGGTCGAAAGGCAAGCGGGTCGTTCGATTTGGTCGTCGACGAGTCGACTCTGGGCTTTTTTGGGGGGGGGTCGAAATCGAGATCGAGAAAAACGGTCTCATTTCCTCGGCGACTGAAGCCTGAACTTGACTTGGCTTTGGGCAATTGGTCGGTTCATCAGGTTCGTCGGGCTTGTGATGGGCGGCGACCACGTTTCCTTTTCGGGTGGAGGGTTGAGTGTTTTTTGGGGGGCTGTCGGGTGTTTTAGTTTTTTCAAGTCGAGGGTCGTGGAACGAGAAATCTCACTTCTGTGCCTTCTGAGCTGAATGGTCTTCCCCCGATGCAGCCAAAATGAGGATGCGGTTGACGAACGATTCAAGGCTGGGTTGAGGTTGTGAGGTGACCAAGTCGAGGGTTGTGGACCGAAGCCCCTACTGAATCCCACTTTTGTGCCTTGACGTCTACTATTTAAATGTTTCTGTAGATAAGTCAAGTCAAGGGGGTAGAGTGATCACCGAATGCGTGTATAAAAAAGTTAGCATGGGTGGGCAAAAAAGAGTGTACAAACCACAAAAAACTCTTGAAAATGCAATATAAAGTCAGGCGTCACAATGTGTAAGGTGTGATAAACAAGGCCCAGTGCATCTCGCCTGCTTTCTGAGAGGACTTATCCCTTCGCCACTTTGGCCTCCCGGCCCTCTATCGTTGTCCTTGGAACTCAAAACTTCGTCCCCTCTACAACCCCTCTGCCCTGGCTGCGCCCCCGCACTCCGCGCGGTTACAGTGCCTCCCTTCCGGTCCCCTCCCCCTATGAGCATCAGCAGTCTCTGCTCAACGCCACTCAGGGGCACCAACAGCATATCTCTAGGTGGTGGGCGCCGAGCGTGCCCAGGAAGGTACATGAGGGCAATGGGGATTGAACCCAAGACCTCCTGAATGCCACTTGCGTGCCTTACCAACTGAGCTTGCCTTCAGAGAGCCCCACTTGCACTGTTAAAAAAAAAATAAAAAAAATAAATAAAAAAAAATCAGATCACAACTGAACTTCCGGTACAACGCCGGCGGGCATTTGCATCGTCACCCTCCTCTGACTGAACGGGGGCCCCTAGAACCTCCGGCCCGAGATGCCGCGTCTTGCCAGCTCGAGCTCGCGCTCGCACTACGGTAGGCAGGCACACGTGAGAGGGGGAGTCGAGTGAGTCCGGTTCGTTTCCGAGAGGGAGGGGGGGGGGGTTGGAAGTGGAGCACGACCGGCACTTGTGCGTAGCAAGCTGCGTGTGTTTAAGAGATTTGATTGATTTGACACGTGGCCGCACAAGATGGGCTCTTTACGACCCCCCATGGATTTTCTGGCGGCAGAACGTGCAAGCTCCAGCGTTGACGTCACGGGTTTGACATGGTTCCTGTACGGCGGACGGGAGATGGCTGAACGGATGGCCTGGATTGCGGAGCTGGTGGCGGGAGATCCGGTGTTTCGCAAGGACGATACGCGCCATCTTTCCCGCGCGGAGATGATGAAGCGCGCCATCGAAAAAGGTGTCCACGCATTTAAAAAAGCGCGGGAACTTAACTTAACCCCCGAGGAGAGCGGGTTCATGCGGCTTTTCGTCGACGAGGTAATGCCCACGAACCTTCATTACGCGATGTTTATCCCTACGTTGGTGGGTCAAGCGGCCGACGAGCAGCAACGGCTATGGCTGCCGAAGGCAAGATCGATGGAGTGGATTGGATGCTACGCGCAGACGGAGCTGGGCCATGGGTCGAACGTGCAAGGACTGGAGACGACGGCGAGATTCGATCCCTCGACCGATGAGTTTGTAATCAACAGCCCAACGGTTACCTCTACCAAGTGGTGGCCGGGGGGGCTGGGAAAGGTCTCGACGCACGCAATCGTGTTCGCGAGATTGGTGACACGTGGCAAAGACTGGGGAGTGCACGGGTTTCTTGTCCAGATTCGATCCCTCGTCGATCATAAGCCGATGCCAGGCGTTGTCGTTGGGGATATCGGACCGAAGATGGGACATGGCGGTTATAATACGATGGACAACGGGATGTTGAGGCTGACGAGTGTGAGGATACCACGTGGGCAAATGCTGATGAGATACGCGAGGGTGGAGAGAGACGGCACGTACGTCCGCCCCCCTCACGACAAGATTGGCTATGGCGCGATGGTGTACGTGCGCGTGGGGATCGTGATGGAGTCGGGAGTGCATCTTGGTCGTGCTGTGACCATAGCCGTTAGATACAATGCCATTCGTCGGCAATTCAAGGCGAGAGCGGCGGCGCGCAACAAGACGAAAGAGAAGGGGAGCGCAGAGGGAGATGCAAGCTCGGCGGCTATGGCGGCGGACGCCGAGGCCGGCCTGGAGACGAAGATCATCGACTACCGCGCTCAGCAGTACCGCCTGTTCCCTCTGCTCGCTTCGTCTTACGCGCTTTTCATCGTCAGCCGTTGGATGGCCAACTTCTACGCGAAGGTGATGAGAGATCTGATGGAGGAGGGAGAGTTCTCCTCCCTCCCCGAGTTGCACGCCTCGTCGGCCGGTTTAAAAGCGTTGACGACAACGATGGCTGCGGACGGGATAGAGGAGTGCCGAAAGCTCTGCGGCGGCCATGGCTATCTGATAGCCAGCGGGTTGGCCGAGCTGTTCAATGCGTATGTGTGCGCGTGTACATACGAAGGGGATAATCAGGTGCTCTTCCTCCAGACGGCGAGATTCTTAGCGAAATCGTGGGGCGGGCGGGGCGGCAGCGGAGGTCTAGTAGATATGGCAGCGGAAAGAGGGATTGCCGGAGGGGAGGAGGAAGAGAGGAGAAGGAGTAGCGGCATGATGGAGGAGGACGAGGAGGAAGAAGATGAAGAAGGAGAGGAAGAAGAAGAAGAGGAGGAAGAAGAGACGAGGGGGGAGACGAGTAGCAGTAGTCGGAGCTGGCCGCGTGGCAGTAGGAGCGAGGGAAGGAGGGGGAAGAGGGAAAAAATGAGCCTCAGGATGAAGAAGGTGCTACGTGGCAGCACCGTGGCTTACCTTGGCGATGGCCCCCGGCTTTGCCGGTTATGGTGTCCCGCTCAGCAGCCGTCCGATTGGCTGCATCCCTTGCTGCAGATCGAAGCGCTCTCCGTCAGATCTGCCTATCTTGTCTCGGAATTTGTTGATGACGTCAACTCCCCTGACGCCACCGTGCAAATGATCAGGGCAGCTAAGGCTCACTGCGAACGCCTCCTTGCCGTCCAATTCACAATAGCTGTGGAGAGAGAAGGAGGAGGAGGAGGAGGAGGAGGAGGAGGAGGAGGGGAGGAAGGAGTAGAAGAAGATGTAGAAGAAAAGACAATGAGCAGCGCAAATTTCGCTGCAGCTGCTGACGTGGCTCGTCGTGCAGATGGCATCAAGAGGCCGTTGCGGGTGTTGCGTGACGTGTACGCGTTGTCACGACTCGAGGCATCAGCTGGGGATCTTCTAGAGGCTGGGTACTTGACACGTGTCCATGTCCTGCAGATCAGGCAACAGCTCCTTAGACTCCTACAGATGCTGCGGCCCGACGCCGTGGCGATGGTGGACGCCTTCAATTTCACGGACCATTTTCTTGACTCTGCCCTCGGCAGACACGATGGCGATGTCTATACTCATCTCTACCAATTAGCACTCAACGACCCTCTCAACCATCGCGAGGTGGTAGATGGCTACGAAGAATATTTGCGGCCTCTAATCGTCAAAGAAAACGACAAAGAACGACCACAGGATTCCCAATCCATTCCTCACCATTCTCGACTTTAACTCTGTGTGTGTGTGTGTGTGTGTGTGTGTGTGTGTGGGTGTTTATTTAAGAACCCAGAATTCTCTCTACCATGCCATGCACGAATCATCACAAACCATCCATAGAACAAAAGAAGTATAGGCGGGCAATGTAATAGAAAGTGCAAGGTTCCCCACGTTTGTGTGGTTGAGCGTGTGTGTGCGTGTGCGCGTACACGTGTGCGCGAGTCTGCCTGTGTGTGTGTGTGTGTGTGTGTGTGTGTGTGTGTGTGCGTGTGCGTGTGCGTCTTACACCCACACACAAATGCAAGGATGGTATTAGTCGGTCCATTTCCTTTCCAGAGACAGCACTTACAATTCACATACTGTGTTATGTTCGTTCTCCTTTCCTCTCTTTCACCCTTTTTTTGGGGATCTCGATAAACCCGATGTACACTGTACAGTGCATTTTGATTTAATAGGAGGCTGGTGTATTCGTCATGGCTGTATCTTTTCTATATGTTATGTTCCTTCTCCTATCTTCTCTTTGTTCTCGTCTCTGAGTGCAATTACCCCTTTAAAAAAAAACTTGCCTCCGTTTAGATGTGCCCAAAACCGCTGTACGATAGAAGGGCGTTTTGCTCAGTTGTGTTTTGTCCAATTTTCGTATTTTTTTTCTGGCGTTCAGCCGTGCCTCTATCAAGTGTGACTATGGCGACAAATGTGTGCTGCCACAGTACTAGCACTAAAAAGTGGCGACTGTGGACTGCTGATGCAGTCTTGCTGGAAGGTGATGTGAATGGAGGGGCACCCTCTCGCTGATGGCTGGGTACGCGGGAGACCGGAGGGGTATTTGCTTCCCGATGGGTGGGTGGGTGGGTACGCGGGTCGTTTCCCCACAGTACTGAAAATGATACCTGTGGGAAGGTGATGTGAGTGGAGGGGCACCCGCTCGCTGACGGCTGGGTACGCGGGAGACTGGAGGGGTACTAGCTTCCCGATGGGTGGGTGGGTACGCGGGTCGTTTCCCCACAGTACTGAAAATGGTGCCTGTGGGAAGGTGATGTGACTGGTGAGGGGTACTAGCTCGCCGACGGTTGGGTATGCGGGAGACCGGAGGGGTACGAGCTTTTGGGTACGCGGGAGACCGGAGGGGTACGAGCTTCTCGATGTGTGGGTGGGTACGCAGTCGTTTCCCCACAGTACTGAAAATGGTGCCTGTG